TGTGAGCGTCTACACAGCCATTGCGTTATTTTGAAATCATTTCGAAATAACACACGGCTTATTCAAAAATCTGTAAACCTCGCTCTACGAGGAATAACGCCTGTTCTGAAACAGCTATTTCGATATAAGGCGTGTGTCGATGCTCCACTGCCGCTATTTCGAACTAGCACCTCCCCAGGGCCTAAGTTATTCCTCCCCAGTGCCTCCTAGGACTCTAAATCACGATAGCACGTCTGCATTTGGGGAGTCTGCCTCGGACTCATTTGGAGGCTTCCCTGCAGTGTAGACGTGCTATTCTGAAATAAGCTATTTCTGAAATCAGCATGCAGTGCAGACGTACCCTCAGTCGCTGCATCCAGCAACAATATTCTGTCCAGACTCAGCAGTTCTGGACAAGCGGACTTGCCTTAGTGAGCGCCCAGTGTCCAGAGGCGGGAGTACCCCACTTCGCAGGTACTTGGAAAAGGAACAAAAATAAATCCTGCCTCCAACATGGCTTGTTTCTTATCTCCCGTCGGAGTGCCGGGCTGCCTGTCTGTCACACAGTGCGACTACGCGCTTCCCTCGGCCCTTGTGGTTACCCACACCGGTAGCTGTGGTTTCGCTGTCACTTTCGGTCCCCGATCGCTGGGCTCACATGCCACCCAGCTCAGCCTGACGTCAGGACCGCACTTCGTAAGGAGCTTTGGGAACCGACTGCAGAAGATTATTTGCTAGACCCAAGTAAGTAGGTCACTGTGTAACCTCCCTTCGAGGCCAACCCACTCGATCAGCACACTAGGAGGGCGCGTGAGTACCTTCCCCAGCATCTGTACGCAGGCCTGCCAATGGGGGGAGAGGGGAAGAGGGGCGCCATCCCAGCTATGGCCTCACCCCAGCCTTACCAGAAAGAACTGCCCTGGCATGACCAGGCCGAAGAGGCAGCGCAAGCAGCAGGAGAATTGTTATCTCCATTTTACAGACAAGCAACTGAGGCCCAGACAAGGAAAGCTTCCCAAAATGCCCCAGTCCCGCTGCAAGTCAACAGACGCAGGCCCTGACCCAGGCTCACACCAACCAGGGAGGTAGGGTATTCAGAGACTTCAAAACCCAGCATTTTAACCCATTGCAAATGTAGTTCTACCACGTTACACCTGTAAATGGAAAGTCACATTTGGTGGAAGACTGGTGAGAGCACGATTTTCCAGGTCCGAGGGTTCCCAGTCCAGTGCCTTGACCCCAGTCTATGGCCAAACTGGACAGTCTCTGAGCCAAAGGAGAAATGGCCACAAGTCAGACATCAGGAACCGTCAGACACAGAAACTCTTTAACCCGCCTGGGCCCTGGGGAATGGATTTCAAAGCAGCCAGCCTTTTACAGAGGAATTTCACCAGCCAATTACAGAGCCAGAGCGAGCGAGGACTTGACCTTCATATGCAAATGTGACACTGGTTCCCTGGGCTTGAACAAAGACATTAACTAGATGTCACATTATAAAGTCACTCTCCCTGTCATTAACACTTCGTTGACATCAGAAGCTATGAATGGGACATTTCCAGCCCACTCAATTAGCCTCACTAGCACCCGTCCTGCTATCCACAGGGGTTTTTTTCTCCCCTTCTTTTTGGGTTATAAACTCTGGGTTCCAGCTCGTTGTTTTTACAGGTACAGACAAACACGGCTCCCGCTCAGAGACTTTCTTCCAGCCGGTGCGGCTGTGATTCCCATTGCTGTCGTCAGTCTCCATTCTCGGCCCCAAAGCATGCGGTGCGGTCCTGGGACAGCCTCTTTTCCAAAGACAATAGTGATAGAGATGCAGTGTGAGTCTGGTGTAGCTAAAACAAAAACCAGGACGATGTAGCACTTTAAAGACTAACAAGATGGTTTATTAGGTGATGAGCTTTCGTGGGCCAGACCCAAATTGATCTGAGGAAGTGGGTCTGGCCCACGAAAGCTCATCACCTAATAAACCATCTTGTTAGTCTTTGACGTGCTACACAGTCCTGTCTTTTCTTTTGCAAAGAGGCCTGGAGAGGAGCAGGAGGGGAGAAAAGCCCGTCCAGAGCCATGCCGTCCTCCACCAGGCCCGACAGCAGCGGCTGCAGACGCGTTATTCTCCAGGCCTGGAAGAAAGCAGGCGACAAGGTGCACTAGCAGACAAGCAGCCCCCCATCTTTGTTACCAGCACAGTGCGGTGACGACCGATTTTTATTATTACAAACGGCAGCGTCTGCATCCGCAGGCCCCGGTTCCGAAAAGCTCTCCACGGCGTTGGAGTCGGTTTGGCCAGCGAAGGGGGCGCAGAGCCGCGTCCTTAGAGCCTGCATGCTCAGGGGCTCTCCAACGTGCATGGGGCCCCTCTCACAGGCCAGTGCCCCAGCTGAGCTCTGGGTGGAGATGTGATACGTCTGCCCATGAGTCATTGCCCACCCACCAGCCTGCTGGGACAATTCCTCCTCCCTCGGCGAGTAAGTTCTGATGGGCGCACGTACACGCCGCAAGACAGCCCCGTGCTCGGTCCCAGCTCCCCAGACCTGCCACGGAATGAACAGCCCGGCTCTGTCCCTCCCAACCCCCCCAGCCACGCAGCGCGCGTGGACCAAAAAACCTGCTATGCCGCTCTTGTCTGTCCATCATGGCAACCTCCAAAGCGCCACTCTCGGAGTGGCCCAATCCGCCAGCTAAGCCAGCAGGCAGCTTCTTCCCCCACGGACGATTACCACCTTCGCCGCTGGAATCAGAGGCTACTGCAGAGAGCGCTGCCCAGAGTCAGACAGAGATCTAGCTCCCTGCCCGATGAATGGTGGGTAACTGGTGGTGAAGAGCGGGGCAGGATTAAGGTGAGCATTAAGGTGGGCACTAATTGAGAATTAAATGGTTTGTTTTTTCCAAGTGTGCACCGTGACTCCCCGACCCGCACAACAGATGCAGCCACCGGAGAGTTTTGCCCACGGTCTCCTTCCGCTTGACAAAACCGGCTGTGGGACTGTAGGGTGGCCCTTTCCTCCCCAAACCGTTCGTCTCCTTTGGGTAGCTCCAAGCCGTGACTGGCTCTGTGAGCCGTGTATTACACAAGAACGGCCGCACTGGGTCTGACCAAAGGTCCATCTAGCCCAGTGTCCTGTCTGCCAGCAGTGGCCAACGCCAGACGCCCCAGAGGGAGAGAACACAACAGGGAATCCTCACAGGATCCGTCCCGTCACCCACCTCCAGACACACAGAGGCGAGGGACACCATCCCTACCCATCCTGGCAAACAGAGGCCAGGGACAGCACTCCTACCCATCCTGGCAAACAGCCACTGATGGACCTAACCTCCATGAGTCTATCTAGCTCTTTTTTGAACCCTGTTAAAGTTCTAGTCTTCACTGCATCCTCTGGCGAGGAGTTCCACAGGTTCACTGTGCGCTGAGTGAAGAAAAACTTCCTTTTGTTTGTTTTAAACCTGCTGCCCAGAAATGGACGTCTGGTAACTGAGACAGAAGAGGAGCACCCGGACACGGCATTTTAGCTGAGTGGGTGGGTGGTGAAGGCGACATCCTAGAGACGTTATGCAGACAGACTCAGCTAGATTGAGACCCAGCTGAGATACCACTTGTCCACGGATTTGGTACCACGTTCAGCAGAGGTTTGGTACCTGCAAAGATGGTGCTGTTCAAATCTGCCTTCCATATTACCCAGGCTCCTCCTCCCCCCCACACCTGGGGGCATATTACCCAGCCCTCCGCCCCCACACCTGGGGGCTTGAGCACATGAGCGCAGAGAGAGGGTTCTGGCTGGGCTCACTTGGTAACATACGGCGACTGAGTCCTGCCGGGAGGGCGGGGAAGGACTAGATGGCCTCTCGAGGTCCTGTCCAGTCCTACGGCTCCGTGACAAACAAGCTGCACTGTGGTTATAGCCCCGTTTTCCAGCTGTTCAATACTCTGGAAGCAGGGTGCAATTCCCCACAGGCCACCCTCCCGCGGACAGACCTTGTACGGACCGGCAGAGCCCGGGTCTGCACGAGCGAAAAGGCAACCGGCAAAGCTTGAATTAACTAAAACATGCCCCCTGCGAGGAGGAACAAGAGACACGACGGATGCAGGAGAGGCCCCCCCCATGGAGCAGGGCCCCCGGAAACACCCATTAAGCTAACGAGAGCTGCCAGCAAGCGCTTTCCCCGAGACACGCTTGTCGTCTGAGACACATTCCCCCAGTGGAGGGGCTTCTGAGAGTTGCAAAGTTGAATTCCCGCCCCCAGAAGCGACTCTGCGACTCACGGGCCCATCTCCGTGCTTTGCTAGTCCAGAAAGTGCCACCAGACCATTGGTTGTTAGTCTGTATCCTGCACCGACTAACGCGGCTCCCCCGAAGCGTCTGCCGCGAGCGTCCATGCTCCTTATTTCAGCTTCCACTTTGATCTCGATCCGCTAGGGATGGAAACTCCCGTTTAATTGGTTACTCAGTTTCACTGGTTAACTGATTGAACGGGGGCGGGAGGGGGGAGCTGAGTGAAGCTGCTGTGAGTGGGGGGGGAGCA